TAAAAAAAAGACTTTTCCATATGGTAACAGAGAACATCTTTATTTTATGTAGTGTTCTGTTTATAGATATGTCATATTCAAGTATAGTTCCCTTTTTTGATAAACAGTTGAGCTTTGTGTATCTGTTATGGCAAATAATACAATGTGTGACATTTTATAAATAGTTTTATTGTATATAAGGGCAAGTATATCCATGGCTACATATTAAAAATAATTTTTTTAACCATCCCTCAAACACACCAACCACGTCCATATCTCCAGGCTGTTTCTTTTGCCATGAAAGTTCCCACTCCATTCTCTTCTGCTGGTCAACTCCTATTTCACTTCAAGATCCAGCTGGAATGTTACTATCTCTGAAGACTTTTGAACCCCCTTAGGCCAGATTCCTTCTCTCTCTCCCCAACCCCCTTTTTACTTCTAGAAATATTCCACTCCCACATCTTCAGAAATTTTTAATTTTTTTAACATCCTTCTCTTCCCCAACTTAGGAGCTGCCTAAGGACATATGCTGCAGGAGATTTTTCTCTGAATCCCTCAGAACTTGGCACCTGGTAGGCACTGGTATTGCATGAATGGAGGGACTGGGGTCCACCCAGGGGTGTGGAACTGCAGCATCCTTCACTGTCATTGGCTTCTCAGCCTCTGTGAACACTGAGGACTGATGCAGGACAAAGGTGGGCTGGGATTTTCCCTCCCCACCCACCTAATTCCTTCCTTCCTGGTCCACCCCTTTCTCCCCTTGGGATTCTGTCCACAGCTGCCTTGCAGCCTCTGCTGGATCTGGCATTGGACAGCGGCTCTTATAGCTTTTTAAAAAAAAGAATAAAAATAAAAATGGAGACCTAGCTCCACCCATGTTCTCTCTTCATCAGATCTGTGGCCTCTAAAGTTAAGAAGACAAATAGCTTTATGGTCAAATGTACATCAAAGTTATTCTCAAATATTACTTCTACATGTCAAGCCAAAGGTGATGATAGTTTATTACTTTGCTTTTAGGACTGTGGGAAAAACTCTGAAGCATTTAGTTAATCCCGTGTTATGTGTTAACATTAAAATATCATGAGTGCCTGAAGCTGTCAATGGCTAGGTGGTTTCCACAGAATATTTCCTTTTAGTCCTGCCTAGATGGGCAGGGCTGGAGATGGGAACTCTTCAACCCTTGGGATGAAGAAGTTAATGCCAGGCATTCCCCTCACCCTGGGAAAGAAAGCTCCTACTCCTGGGAGGTGAAGCCTCTAAAGAAAACAAAGGAAATGAAAGCTTTTGAGCCTCTGCCTGTCCAGGTCAGAGAGCATGTGGGAATCCAGATGTTCCATTTGGACAAGCCCCAGGACAGAAGGTAGTTTGAGGCTCACTTCCAGTGCTTTGGATTGTGGTCTGCAACGTTTCTTGCTTGCTTTCCTCCTAAAAGAAATCTGAAAAACTTTGTTTCTTCTTGGACCTTTAAAGGATACATATAAAATGTTTCATCATAGGTTTAAATAATGGCAAGCTATTGTTATTTCTGTCTTAATCTAAGTATTGGCATTTAAAAATAAGATTGTTACATCATTCTTTAAGTGTATCCAAGGGATTCTAAATATCCTAATGCATCTATCATCCACTTAAAAAATACATGAACAAGCTGTTCTTTAAAAGAAATTTCATATCACTGTTTCATCCCTTATCTTGTATTTTCATTACACTTGTCCCTGAGTATGTTAGTATAATATTTTAGGCTGGAATGTCTTTTATTGATTAGCCTATTATATTTCTCCACAAAATTCTTTTTTAAAATGGAGTCTCTTAAGCTTAAGAAACCCGTCTTAGTTGTATAATTAATATAAAAATTCCTAACCGACCTAAATCATATAAAATATTAAAAATTTTGATATACTGTTAAAAGTATAGAGTATCTTTGCCCAAGTGTAATAGTATCCAGTCAACTCTACTCCTAGTTTTAATTTTTATAGATAGAAGTATAAAAACAGTCTTCATTCATTCCACAGATATTTATTGAGGACCTCCTATATGTCAATAGTTACTCTAGGCACTTGGGATACATTAGTAAACACTACAGATAAATCCCTGCCTTCCTGGAGCCTATATTCGAGCGTGCAGGAGTGGTAGGCAATAATAAACAAGTTCCATGGGAAAAGAGAGAGCTAGGTAAGGCAGATTTGTGGCACAGAGTGAGAGTTATGAGTTGTGATTTTCAGAAGGTCATGATGGATCGCATTGAAAGGTGGACTTTTTACCAAAGGAGGCAAGGAGTTAGCAGTGAAGGTTTCTGGGAGAAATGTGTACCAGAGGGCCATGGAAACATATGTGGCATCCTCCCGTGTCAAAAAAGGAGGTCAGAAAGTCTGGAGCAGAGTGATTCAGGAAGAGGAGAGAATAGGACTGGACAGGTAATGATCTGGGTAAGGTGGTGGTGCTGATCTTACAGAAACTTTTGAACTATAGTAAAGAAGTTGATTCCTACTCTGAATGAAATAAGCAGCATTTAATGCAGGGATGACTTGTATTTTCAGAGGGTCATTCAAGCTATTAGATTGAGAGGGGGCAAGCACAGAACAGGGAAAACTTTGAGAGGACTAATCCAGGTATGAGATGATAGTAGCTGAGACCAGGAGGTAGCAGGGAAGGGGGTGAAGGATGCTCAGATTTGGAACAAAACGTGGAATGTAGGAGAAAGAGGGATGATTTTAGGGGTAAGATTTTAGGGGTCCTAGTTTGAGCCACATGAAGGATGGGGCTGTCATCAACTGAGATAGAAAAAAGCTGGTGGATTGAAAAGGTTTGAGAAAATATTATTCAGTTTGTGATATATTAGGTATTGGAAACACAGTACACTGCCGGATATCAGAGTCTGGGGTGTGGGTAGGTTGGAGCTGGATATAAAAATTTGGGAGTTGTAATCATAATGATGATAATGTTACCGCTGTTGACCGGTGAGTCCTTGCTTCCCCAATGTTGAAGAATAACACCAGAGAAGCACGCCGAGGCAAGGTCAGAGTAGAAATTAGAAGTTTATTAAAGGACAGCAGAAAAGACTTCTCCCGGAGGAGGAAGAAGGGGACCCAAGAGGTGGAATCCGTGGAAGTGCGGTTGTCTCTCCATTTTATAATTTTCGGTGATGGAAGGTAGGTGGGAAGGCCTGAGGGGTGGGACACAGGTGGGCCAAAGAAGTAATCTGGGCAGGAAGGACTTCATTAACACTTCTTTGGGACTGGCTGTCTTCAAATCTGCTGGGGCTGTTTATTAACATTTTTTTGGGATGGGCTATCTTTAAATCTGTTGGGGGCTGTTTCCTGGACTTCATTAACATTCCAGGAGTTGCTCAACTTTTCCGGGAATTCATTCTCAGCATGGCCTCCATTTTAGATTTCACTCCATATTAGACCCCATTTACTACATTGACTACCTAATTTTAAACCTGGCTTCAATAACGTATATCTTAGATGGCACTGGAAGTCAGGTGTCTAGAGGAGATCACTAAGGAAGTAGGTATAGATTAAAAAAGACAAGACCAAGGAATGAGTCTTGGGTCACTCACTATAAGACTAAGGGGTGTGAGAGAAGAAGAAAGGGAAGGATGTACCAGGGAGGAGGAAAACCAAGATGGTGGGGGAGGGGTGAATCAAGTGATTAGTTACGTCAACTGTTATCAGTTGAGAGTTGAGACCAGGCCATTGGATTTAGCCAATATGATTTTTGTTGTTGAGTAATATTCATAGAATAGTAAGGAGGAAACCATGATGGAATGGGTGAAGAGATGGTGGGAGACCTACCACTTCACCTGATAACTTATAATATGTTCCATATGTAACCTCATATGATTTTATTACATGTATGTGTGGTCTGCATGTACAAATAGTGTATGACATGTTTTTGAACTTTATATCATATTGTGTGTATGTTGCTTCAGAGTAAAAGAACTAGGACAAAATATTAGAATTCCTATAGAAATTTTGTTGCAAAGGAAGCAGAGAAATGGGTAGTAGCTGACAGTGGAAATGGGACAAAAAAATCTTTTAGGACTGGAGAAATAACATTTGCAAGGTTATGGAAATGACCCAATAGATATGGAAACAGTGTGAAGGTGATGATCTGGATTAGACAAGAAGGTTTGGAACACATTTTCTTAGTGGAGGGAATGACCTTAGGTAGCACCATGGAAATTCAACTATATAATGGAGGGGGAGGCTGAGAAGAGGCTGACATCTGGGTATAGGTGGATGTGATTGTAGATTTGTGGTAGTTTTTGTATCATTGCTTCAATGCTGTCAATGAAACAGGAAGTAAGGTTATTCTTTGAGAATGAGATGGAGGGGAGGATGTGTAGGTTAGAGGAAAGAGAAAATATGAAATCTAGAAAGAATGGAGGATGGAAGTAAGATTGCTGGGTGGCACTAAGGTTTAAGGTTCATGGTGATGAAATTCAAGTGAAATAAGTCAGTATGATTGTCTTTCTCTAGCCATATTCAGATCCATGGGTGCTGGTGTGGAGTAAATCTGTGGAGAGCTGGCTTGAATCAGGATGGTGGTTCTGCCAAGCAATGAAGACACAGGGAGGAAGAAGGGGGGTTGAGGGTAGGTGTAAGAGTTTACAATGATTGGCCAGGGATTTGAGATGGATAAGAATGGCAGGCAGCAGAGGTGAAAGCTGAAGGATTATTGTACTACACAGAGTGACCCAGAAATAGGAGATGATGATCAGAGTGTGTGATGTTTGGAACTATGGTTATGAAAAAGCTGCAGAGTTTGATAAGGCTCTCATGGCTATGACCTAGGGAGTGAGTGGCTGAGTTAGGCTAGAGGGAAAGATCCTTGGAGAAGTCAAGGAATTGAGAGACCGAGGCATTAGGAATATCAATTAAGTATACTTTATTTATTTATTTATTTATTTATTTATTTAGAGTGAGTGTGTGTTTGTGTGTGTGTGTGTGTGAGAGAGAGAGAGAGAAAAAGAGAGAGAGAGAGAGAGAGAATTTTTAAAAAATATTTATTTTCTAGTTTTCGGCAGACACAATATCTTTGTTTGTATGTGGTGCTGAGGATCGAACCCAGGCCGCATGCATGCCAGGCGAGCGCGCCACTGCTTGAGCCACATCCCCAGCCCCTTAAGTATACTTTATAACTACCCTAGGATTAGTACAGAAGTGGCACTAGTAACTGAAAGCAGCAGATGGTGAAAAAAGGAAGGGGAATGAGGGAGGGCACTGGTAGGGGTCCTGCATAACAAGATTGTTGAAGAGCAGAGACTTACCTGACCTCTAGGCACTGGCTAAGAGGCTTAGCCAATGGTTGAAAACATTTCAATGGCTGAAAACACAGTTGCCACTATATAAGCAGTGGAAGGGGCAGCAGCCATCTCAGGGGAAAATCCAGGTTACATTAAGTAAAAAGGTAAAGGGAACCTGAAAGGAAACACAGTACACTGCTGGAGAAGAGGATGAACTTGTAGGAAATATCATTTGCATAAATAAATAGATGATGTGGTAGACAGATTTTAACATAGACCCATATGATCCCTACTTCTTAATGTTCATACCCTTGTGTGGTCCTGTCCCCTTGAGTGTAGATGAGACCTGTGATTTGCTTTGGGCCTTGTGTGCTTATGTGTACATGATTATGTTACAAAAGCCTGTAACAAACCCAGGCTTAGTGACACCTGTTTATAGTCCCAGTTCAGGGTTGAGGCAGAACTTCTTGAGTCAGGGCTGGCCTGGAGATACTGTCCCTTAAATTTTTTTTTTTTTTTAAAACAAGTAACCAGTATCCTGATCATACTATCCGGTTTACTGATTCTGAAGAAGCAAACTGCTATATTGTGAGCTTCCCTACAGAGAGGAAAACATAGCAAGGAACTGAAGGGGCCTCCAGGTGACAGCTGTCAAGGAACTGAGGCCCTCAAACTTGCAACCTGCAAAGAACTAAATGCTGTCAACAACTACATGAGCTTCGGAACAGATTTTTTTTCCCCAGTAGAGCCTTACTTTTCAGAGGGCCTACCTAAGCCTTGCCTGGACTCCACAGAAATTATGGGACAATAAATGTGTTCTTTCAAGCTCTTCTATTCATGGTAATATTGTTATATGGCAGTAGATAATACAGATGGAACAGAAGACTTTCGGTGATAGCAATGTTATCCAATTTTAAAAACTCTTCTGAAGTATAATACTAAGGAATCACATACTGATGTCTTACCAAATCATTTTTTAATGATCTGTCAGCTGACAGATCTTCCTTCAATTTTGTTGACAGCAAAGAATTGGAAACATTGGACTTGCAAAATAATTTAATGCCCATTCACTAAGGTGATTTACTTTCTCAGCACAGACACCAATTTTTGAAATATCCCTTTGGATTTCCCTGGAGGTTTTACAGTCTTGGGTCACTTTAGTAATTGGTGAGAATTTTGATTTTCTTTGCTAAGGTGTGAGGACAGTTTTGAAAGATGCAGTGTCCGCAGCTGCCTTCTCAAGTTGAGCAATTTTAGAAAATAGTACATATGATAGTGGACGATCCGGAAATGAATTCCCTTAGAGGGAACACTAGTTTGAAGATTATATGGTTTTCTAATAAAAAAGGGAAAAGAATTCAGGCTGTGATGGAGAGGACAGAATGCGGCAGTGTGTGTGTATGTAGTTGTTTCTGGCCAACACAATCTAAGAAATGACTTAGAACTGTCTAAATTAATCTTGGAGGGACCCCGATAGAATTATTTATTGCCAGGTGAAAACAAAAGAAACAAATACCCCCCCCACCCCCATATAATTCGTGTGTTTTAAAAGATTTATTATTACTATTTTTTGCGTTGCTTAGGATGATCTCAGGCCCTTGAGCATGCTAGGCAAGTGCTCTACCTCTGAGCGACACCCCCAATCCTGAAATACAAAAGAAATGCATTCATCTTATGAAATTGCCAATATAGACAAGTGTAGAGTAGAGTTTATGGCCTTCCCCACCCAACAGCAACCTGATTAATAGGAAGTGTAGAGGTCCCCCAGGTCGCTCCCAACAACCATTTACATTTCGTGACACCTGGCAAGGTTTCTGAACGTGTAATTCCTTGACACTGTCCTGAGCACCTGTCGATTTTACATACCGTTGGAATTCGTGATTTGGGGCTGGTGGAAAGGGAAAGGGATGGAAGATACAGACGGTCGCCAATTTCTTCCCAAAATAAACCGCTACGACTACCCCGAGTTAGTGCTTGGCTCTTAAGTCCTCGCAGGTCTTCGAAACAAAACCAAATCCCAAGAGGCCGTGCTGACCACTCACCATAAGCAACTTACAGGACGCCGAGATCTCTCGGGCGGCTTGGGTACTCTTTTGCAAAGAGATGCCACGCTCTGATGACCAACCCCTAGAGCCGCCTCTCAGTCCACCCAAACAGCGCAGCGAGCTCGGCCAGGGCGGGTCCTGAACCGGACTCGCCGCCGCTCGCGGACAGGCGCTGTCCCGCGGACGCCTGCGCAGAGCAACTCTCCCCTCTCTCGGGGCGGGAGGCGGGGGCAGCCGGGAGAAAGGAGAGCTGCAGGGGAAAAGGGCCAAACCCTGAAATTACCCGGATGTGGTCTCCGCGCGCGCATGCTCAGTGTCTTCTCGACAAGTTGGCAGCAACAACACGGCCCTGATCGTCGTCGCCGCTGCGGTAACGGAGCGGCTTGGGTGACTGAGCCCGCGTTCACGCCCGCCCGCTCTCCTCAGGAGGGTCTTCCCACCCTCGG